GGGTTCAAGTGATTCTCCTGTCTCAGTCTCCTAAGTAGCTGGGATTACAGGCATGTGCCACCACACCCGGCTAATTTTTATATTTTTAGTAGAGACAGGATTTCACCATGTTGGTCAGGCTGGTCTCGAACTCTTGACCTTGAGATCCATCCGCCTCGGCCTCCCAAAGTGCTGGGATTACCAGTGTGAGAAACTGCACCTGATCTAATTTTTGTATTTTTTTTGTAAAGACGGAGTTTCACCATGTTGGCCAGGCTGGTCTCCAACTCCTGGCCTCAAGTATCCACCAGCCTCAGCCTCTCAAACTGCTGGGATTACAGGTGTGAGCCACCATGCCCAGCCTATCTTTCTTCTTCTTTTTTTTTTTTTTTAAAGGGTCTTACTCTGTCACCCTGGCTGGAGTGCACTGGTGTGATCATGGCTCACTGTAGCCTTGACCTCCTGGGCTCAAACGATCCTCCCGCCTCAGCCTCCCAAGTAGCCAGTACTACAGGTATGCACCCCCATGCCTGGCAACTTTTTAAATTTGTATTTATTACAAATATTTGTTTTCCTTTCTTTCCACAGGTGTTGACTTTTTATTTTTGTAGAGACTGGTGTCACTCTGTTGCCCAGGTTGGTCTTGAACACCTATGCTCAAGTGGTCCTCCTGCCTTGGTCTCCCAAAGTGCCAGGATTACAAGTGTGAGGCATAGTACTGGCCTCAAATTTCTTAAACACTCCTATAAACACCATATCCTGAACCCCTCCTTGAGAACATACCTGGGTAGAACACCCATTGTCCACAGCAAGGATGTGCAGCAGCTGTTCTGTAGGTAAGTTCCCTTAATGTCTGCTTTGGCCTGATTGCCCTGGCATTTAGCACTTCACTCACTGGAATCCCAACCAGCCTTATCTTGGGATGGTTTGGGGGCATCCTTTGCGAGAGCTGCCCTGATGCCAGCTGTGGGTTCAGCTGATACTAACTGGTGGGATTCTCTGGAAGGGCTTTGATGGCATCATCATCATCGTAGCATTCATTAGTTACCATTTGCCCATTCTCCACTGTCCAATGTTTATCGAGCACGCACTCTATATCAGGCCCTAAGGACACACTGGTGAGCAAAACAGACAGGGCCTTTGCCCTCTGTGAGATTTACAGTATAGGGGGGAGACAGACTATGAACAAGTATCAGAGAAATAAATATGGAACTACAAACCTTGCAAGTGCTACTAAGTAATCGATCAGGGTGCTGGAACACAGAAGGCAGTGGGAGAAGAGAGAGGGTGTATTTTAT